TCTTTGAACTGTATATGATATTTGATGCATCATGATTTCTGTATAAGGTGGGGAAATGATTTGAAATCATGCTTGCCCAAAATACTACCCCTATATACCTTAAGCCTTTTGTGAAGTTAAGCAGTTATGTGTACCAAACAATGAAAAAGAAAGGGCTTAAACCAAACAGCAAGTGAGGGCTAACGATTCTGCTTACTATGATAAGGATGTAAGCCTAGTGATTTTATAGAAGCAACACGGAGGCAGTATTTGGACACTATTATAGGTTCCCATAGATGTGCTCTTATTTGACTTGACCTTCTTGTTGCATTATAGGATTGTTATACTGGGCAAAGCTTTCAAGTTTTCAGGTCTCAGCTTTCCAAAACTTTTTTCATCTTTTTGTTAATGGTGTGCAGATAAAGACAGAGAGCGGCTCTAAGGGAAAAACCAACAAAACTGGGATATACAAGAAGTGGAAAGACCAATCACACAAGAGAGTATCTCTTAATGGAACGAATGATGGAAACTCTGCTGCACAATCAACTAGTTTAGCTGGTAATGATCTAGAACCCCTCTTCTAAGAGAACTTTGACATTATTAATGTTTAGTGATGAATTCTACATATTTCTTGGTATATTTGATGGCCCTCTCACTGCATTCAGAGTATATTATGGTTACGTTTCCTCCCAGGAAACATGTGCTATTATGCTGCTCCATGTTGTTTCCTTGGTGATGGAAGTTCAAATTCATTTTGTTTCAAATATCCTGTGAGCTTATGTTGTTTCAATCAAATGAAAGCTTGTAGTTTGACACATAGTATCTGCTTACATTCAATGAAATTAAATCATGGTTGATGGTTGTGACCTTGTGCTGTTTGAATAGGTGGTCCTAGAGGTCAAGATGGTGGCAGAAATTTCAGAGGTGGGAGAAACAATAGGTCAGTACCTAACGCCCACGTGCGATCAGAAATTAAAGATGTTGATCAAGTTCGAAAGGAAAGAGAGAAGAAGGCCCAAAGAGCATCATATTTGAAGACCAAGAAGGGGAAAAAGGCTTACAAAGGTGGCAAAAAGGGAAAGGGAAATGGAAAGGGTAAGGGAAAGGGAAGACAAGGTTGATTCCAGCTTATCAACTCATTTGCTCATGATGGGGATCTCCATTTTGCAAGCTTTTACACATGCAAATCCAGAAGAGCACTAGGGAACATTCTTTCACAGGAGTTAACTTGTCTATTCTTATAATTCAATGGAAATAAGGTGAAATTTCCATTGCATACTTGTGCAGCTTGGAATGCAACAGGCAGCCATTTTTATAGTAATTATCAGGTTGGAGCATAGACTGCCTGTGGACATACTGTGTATGAAACTTCTGGCTTCTCTCTGTCGAATGGTTCTATGCTTTTTATAGAGGTGAAATAGCAGAACTCTACAAGTACTTTTGATAGAAAAGTTGTACCAGATTACCTTTTCATTTAGGAAAGAAATTATATGTGCTTTCAACTTTCTGAATTGAATTTTCCTTTGATCAGCTTTAAAATGCAGTCAATAGTCTGGACTCTAGATGTATTAGCCAGCACTTCCATCAAATTTAACAAAACTATTTGTAGTTACACAAGGAACACAAAATTTATAAAAACTAACAGAAACTGATAAAACCAACATCAAGCAGACCATTGTTGATCAAAGCAAAAAAAAGAAGAAAGAAGAATTTTCAGCCCAACTGATAAACTCAAAATCAGAAATCCCTATCACAAACATGAATAAGAGCATCAATTGAAAGAGTTCAACATCACCAATAACAGTTTAACATAACTCATAGTAATGGTCTTTAATATATTGTTGTGACAATTCGCTAAAGATAGAACACCATGAAAGTACGATACGTAGAAGATACATAACATATTAAGGATTTAACTTATATATCAAGAAGATGTATTTGCTTTCTCAATAGCCAAGTCACAACTAAATTCTAACATTAACAAAGAATTCTGGAAAAGAAAAATGCTCATTACTCCAACAAAGAATCAATCAATCCAAAACAAGAAGGCGTGAGATCCATCCTATACCAATCATCACACCAAACATAAATTCCTAATATCCCTAGCATAACAATGAAATCCTCTCAAAGGATGACAAATTACAAAACTAGCAGCAGCAGCAGGAGCACAAGCCTCCAACTCCAATGTTGACGATCCATCGTTGTATAAAAAGAATGAATCTTTCAGCAACTCTTCGGCAGATGGCCTAACAGACATGGGAAGCATGCATTTCTCAATAATATCTTTCAATCTAGAGTCCTTCACCTTTCCGAGAGACGCAGGCTTTAAACCAGTGTACACTTTCTTAAATATTTGAATCCCATTGCTACATTCCATATACGGATATTCACCAGTAACCATCTCAAGAAGACACATTCCGAATGAATATATATCAACCAACTCGTTGTATTCTCCATCGTAACACTCTGGAGCCATGAATTCCGGGGTACCTTTAGCCTCTTTCTCTTTCACAAACTTACCCTCCATAACACAAATCGCCAACCCAAAATCTCCAAGAGTAATTTCCTTCCCACCACTATCAACAAACACATTGTCACACTTAATATCTCGATGGATGATCTTAGGGTTTTGGCAATGGAGAAAGCTCAAACCTTCAAGAATCTGCCTGCCCCAATTTTTAATACTCACCAAATCAGCACCAACACCATTATCATTATCATCAGAATTCGCAAGATACTTTTTCAAGCTACCCGAAGGGAATAACTCTGTAATCATGTTAAGAATTTTGGACTTGGAATCGAACCAATAACAGAAACACTTCATAACCCTTTCATGGTTCAACGATTTCAACAAAATACCCTCAGCGAACAACTTTTCAGGGTTTTCTAATGCTTCATCTACTACGATTTGGTTCCAAGCAATTTCAATTTGCACAACACGATCATACCCTATGTACACTTCTTTATAAGCCCCTCCACCCAACATATCACTGTATCTAATAAACCTACCACACGGAGATTTCTCTACAACTCTGCGTAACTCGCAATTCATCGCGAAAAGTCGAAAACACAGAGATCGAAACAGAAAAAAAGATTACTGGTTTTCAAAAAAAGGTTCGATTGCAGCTGAGAAAGAATCCATCATCATCATCAATGAAAAACTTGGTTGAAAACACATGAATTTCTTCATTGATCGGAACTGAAGGAAGCAAAAGAGTTGATGAGAAAAAATTGTATACAGAGAAATTACCTAATTCGAGTCCAACTGAGATTCGGATCAATAAAAATTAGGGCTTCTTTTCTTCCTACTTATATCCCGATTTGGATGGCAAAAAAGATGACAAAATTACACGGATAAACAAAAATATACTCATATGTCAAAAATAGCACTGCTTAATGTTTTGAAAAATGTGTTAGATAATAAATAATACTTATTTAGTAGTAAGGGTAAAATAGACATAAAGGGTAAATTATCTTTTGATTTTCTAAATTGGACAATTATTACTGAACAACTATTTTTTAGTATATTGTTGGACGGAGGGAGTACTAGTTAATTAGCTATAATTTGAATTAATTACGGCTCACAACTTAATTTTAGTTGTAATTATGTGCGGCTCTCTCCACTATCTGGCCTCTTTTCTCGCTTTATACATATACAAATATAAATTATACATATACATATATAGTTATATGATAGATATACAAATGCAATAGCCTCTCTCCACTCTCTGGACTCTCTCAATCTCGCTCGCCAAATATACAAATACATATGTATATTAGTTACATATATATAATTTATACATATACAATTCGACAGATATACATATACAACTCGTTTCTCTCCACTCTCTTCCCTCTCTCGCTCGCCTCTCTCCACTCTCTACCCTCTCTCACTTGCCTCTCTCATCCCTCTTCGAATTTCTCTTGCCTCTCTCCTCCCTCTAACATGTAACTATGAATCGTAATTACCAAATTATAGCTATGAAGCCTAATTAAAATTATTTTAGTGGCTATTTGTGAAAGTTTCCCAAAAAAATATATAAGTAATTAATTTAAGTACTAGTATAAGGGCCTGTTTGGATTGACTTTTGACTTATGACTTATAAGCCAAAAGCCACAAGTTAGGATTTCTAACTTATGACTTTTGGCTTATTTTTGTTATTTTGACTTTAAAATAAGTGCTTATAAGCACTTTTTTAACTTTACCCAAACACTTCAAAACTGTTTAAAACCTATTTTGACTTAAAAGCACCTAAAATAAGTCAATCCAAACAGGCACTAAATTTTTTAAGTAATATCCTTTTTTTTCTTTTCAAACAGAGAGTGATATAAGAATTATGGAATTTAATTAACAAGGGTTCTTTTTAAAATTAAAAATAATCTTATTTTTAATTTTATTTTTAGTAAACAATATTTTGGAGTTTATTAAGTTAATTAACACCTATTTGACATTGATGTCGAGAAAAAAACATTTTTTTGAAAAATTAATTGTTTTGTTAATCAGTAAAACTGTTTTCAAATGAACTGTTAGGAAAAAACTAAAAAAATTGTTTTTTTTTTAAAAAAGAAAAAGAAAGTAAAAGTAGAAAATTATTTACATAAAGATTAATACAAATTTACCAATTTATGTAGTAGTATAATTTAACTTGAGATAGAGTTCTAAAAAGAAAAAATAAGGATTGTTAATAAATATGTGATTGTTTTTGGGAAGGTAAGCCATTCACATCGTGTTTTAATTAATTTATTTATTATAGTATATTTAATTAATATATATAGAAAAAACTTTATGAAGAAATTATACAGACATATCCGCCATGCAAATGGAAAATTAAGTTCCTAAATTATAGTAGTTATATTTTTTCTTGTACTCCTTTTAAAATTATTATTATCTTTTGATTCTATACCTGAAGAAGCAGCTTATTGTTTTTCAATTCTGATTTGTAAGATTTAATTGAATAGTGGGTCTTGATTTGATTTTTGGTTTTATTTCTGGGATTTTGTTTTTGGTGAATTGTTTTTTTTTTTTATGGTTGAATTTAGTGGAAAGATTTGAACTTTAGAATGAAAAAAGTTGGATTTTCTGGTTAATTGTTGATTCTGTGATCATTTGGTGAGTTGGGTTTTGGTGAATTTATTGGTTTGTTTCTCTGTGTGGAGGATTTTGTTGAAGTAGTCCACATTAGGAGGTGAATTTTGTACCAAAATTGAACTTTAGAAAGGAAAAAAGTTGGATTTACTGGTTAATTTTTTATTCTGTGATCATTTGGTAAGTTGGATCTCGTTTTTCTTGTTGAAATTAGTGGGTTTTATCTCAGTTTGGGGGATTTTGTTGAAGTAGTCAGCATTAGGAGGTGAGTTTTGTACCAAGATTTGAACTTTAGAAAGGAAAAAGTTTGATTTTCTGGTTAATTGTTGATTGAGTGATCATTTGGTGAGTTGGGTCTCGTTTTTCTTGTCGAATTTAGTGAGTTTTATCTCAGTTTGGGGGATTTTGTTGAAGTAGTCAGCATTAGGAGGTGAGTTTTGTATCAAGATTTGAACACTAGGAAGATAACATTTGCATGTTTATGAGAAGAATGAGGACAATGAGAGGTGAAGTAGGAGTATTGAGGGAACAACAATGACTACAGAGTCATTGGGTTTCTGTCCTTCTGGAAGTTATGGTTCTTTTGCTGCAATAATTCTGCTACATCACAAACTACACCCTGAAAGCCACCAAAAATGTTTAAGGAGAAAGAAGGATTGTTCCCCGGGATTCACAAATTCGCACCAAGAAAGAAGGTGGGGATGCTTCTACTGTGTGCAGTTTCACTAGCAGTTTTCCTGTGGGTCGTGTTTGTTGACAAAGGTTAGATCTCTAATCTTTTGACATTGCTGCTTTCTGGATTTTCTTACTAGTTCAGACTGATGCATGTTGATAGACTGATTGTTTGATTAGGACTTTCAACTTTCAACATACTGGTGCACACTTTATTTTGATACATTCAATGTGATTCTGTTTTTATTAGTGCTGATTGAAACTTGAGTTACAGTTTGTCGTTCTAACCCTCTGGGAAATAGCATGTTTGATTATACGTGGTGACACGAAATTAACAATCTTATATAGCTTTGTGTTGCAATTTTAAAACTTGTGTTTTTTGTCATCTTAATTACTCTTTGAGCTTGCTAGATGCTGGAATCGTTACCTCGGTTTGATGGCATTTTGCTTTGGCTCTTTTTAAGCTTTTCTTCATAAGGTAAGTTTCTGATTATGTCTCGTTTACACGGGAAGATTCTCATCTAACACAGTACATTATTTTAATCTTCTTCCTGGACATGGATAAATAAATGAGTTGATTTTGTTGTTTGATGTGACGTGGGTGATAGAATATGGCAATGCCCTTTCATCACTTTGTTTTTGGCTTCTGACAGCCTCTGCAATTCTACTCTTTCATAGGTGAAGCACAAGAAAGTAACCCCCCCATAGGCAATAGGTTATTTCGAGAAGCTGGACAGAAGGATAATTCTACTACTATTGAGTCGGTAGAACGAACTAATGCTGGACAAAGTGCATGGACTGTCCAACCTCCTCCTCCTGTATATTTTAAAGGATACACTCTTCCTCCTGGGAATCCATGTGAAAGCTTCACATTGCCACCCCCGCCAGCAGATAAAAAGAGGACGGGACCAAGGCGTAAGTTAAAATCTGTCATACACTTTTCAAACATAGGATTTTAAATATGTCGCTGTCAATTTTTCTCTCTGATGGACTGTTTAGGTGAGAAAATGTAAGCTGCAGATTCTTAACTGGATGTTTACATTCTTTCAGCATGTCCAGTATGCTACCTCCCTGTTGAACAAGCTATTGCACTAATGCCTGATGCACCATCCTTTTCTCCTGGGGTTAGCAATTTGACTTACATTCATGAAGAAAATTCAGAGAAACCCGAGTTCGGAGGATATCCTTCACTGGTGCAAAGGAATGATTCATATGATGTAAGAGAGTCCATGAGTGTGCATTGTGGGTATGATATTTTTTCCACCTGGGCAGTTCTAGTAATATACAGCTTCACCCACCTTTTTTTCTTTTGAATTTCGAATTTTTCTATTGGCTTCATCTATAAGATACTGATGGATAGAGTTGTAAATTATTGCACATTTCACAATGTGTCTTACTTCGTTTCGTTTGTTTATTTCTTCTGCAAATCCACGTGATAGATTTGTTAAAGGAATCAGGCCTGGACATCAAACAGGTTTTGACATTGATGATTCTGACCTTCATGAGATGGAATCTTGTCGAGGTGTCGTTGTGGCATCAGCAATATTTGGTATGGATCTTTCAGTTCACGTGCTGACTCATTTCATGTTGAATCTGCTGGCTATGATTTGTAACAAGTACATTCTTGGACAGGCGCTTTTGATTTGATAAGGCAACCAAAAAATATCAGCGAATATGCCAAGAAAAATGTCTGCTTCCATATGTTTGTGGATGAACAAACTGAAGTTTTTTTAAGAAACTCTAGTGAGCTAGATGGTTCCATGAGAGTTGGCTTATGGAAAATTGTCACTGTTCACAACCTCCCTTATGATGATCCGAGGCGAAATGGGAAGGTTGGTATTCTCAATGATAACATCACCTATATTGAATAGTAGTTAAAATTTGCAAGCATTATTAGTTGGTGATGAGTATTTATTAGAGTACATATCACTGAAAGGAGAATAGCTATGTTAAGAACTGAAAGGAGAATAGCTATGTAAAGAACAGAAAGGAGTATGTGCCAATTTTCTTCTCTTTTTGGTTTCCACAAACCAACTCCCTCCCATCCCCCAACCCAACCCAACCCAAAAGGTAATTCCAGAATTTTCAGGTTATTGACATCTATGCCTCATTTGTTAGGATTGCTTTTCATTCAGATTATGATCACTGATTTCTCCCTCTATTTTCATCTGCATGATTGCCTTTTAGTATCGTACTTTGCATTTTCTATTTGGATTGAAATGACAAGGCTATGTTGTTTTTCTTTTTCGACAATGGTGGTGTCAAGCCTAGCTTGCATGCACCTCGACTATTCCACTGGGTGCCTGCCACCTCCTGCAACACAGATAACTTTGCCACCAAGGCTTAGGCAGATGGGAAGAACTGACCTAGTGGTTTTTTTTTCTATTGGGATTTGAACCCTAGCCTCCCATGGGTTTTACCCACTTCATTTGCCACCAAACCACGCCCTTTGGTGCAATAAGGCTCTATTCTTTCTAACTTCCTTTTGTTAGGCACTGTTTGTTCTTTCCCTATCCCATTTAACTTTTGTTCGATCAGTATTCTTCGGCTATGTGTATATGCTCATGAAATTATTACCTAATGGTATAGAAAAGCTTTTCAGTACTTGAGAACCATCCATTGTATGATAGCTGAGTGCTTCAAGTTCACCTACCTAGACTGGTATCATTTGTAAAATTCTCCAACTAATTTGTATTTGTTGACATTTCAGGTTCCAAAGCTTCTGCTTCATAGGATCTTTCCCAATGCTCGTTATTCTCTGTGGATTGATGCAAAACTTGAGCTGGTTGTCGATCCCTATCAAATACTTGAAAGGTACATCTAAGACTAAATACACCATTCCATATATTCAAAGCAATAACCATGATGTTGCTTTCTCTCGGTTAAATTCTGTCTCTTGACTAATAACAGTACAGGCTTCTGTAGAGCCTCCCATATGACCTTCTAAAAGGTGTAGGACATTTCTTCCCCTGATTTGTCATTAGATCATTTCACCAAGAGTTTCTAGCTAGAAGCAACTATAATAAAGCATACGGTGCTGGCGGCTCTTAATCATAGTAGCCTCCACATGCTTTTATCGGCTTTCTGTAGAAAAGGTAATAACAAAAGAGTAAAGTTTCCGGAAATGCTAAATGTTTGTTGCTAATAAATTTTAATCACCTCTCTGACTTGCTATAGCCTGGAGATCTTCTATCATTTTTATCATATCAAAATTGATTTTTCTGCTACATGTCAGTATTGCAAAATGATAGATATTGTCACTATTGTGTTATGAACAGTGCTAACGCGTTCTGGACACCTTCGACAATGCTTTTGCAATTTTTTGACACCTTACAATAATGAATAAAACATACATGTTTTTTTTTTCCTTCAAAAAGATGAATAAGTCATACATGAAAATTGTTCTTGTCGCGTGACATAGATTAAGAGCAAACGTGAGGAAGTGCTAAATGGCCCTAATCCTATTTATTACAAGGAAACTATCTTACTGATCAGGGGATTGCCCTTCTGATAGAAGGGGTCATATAAGTCTGCAAACATTGAATGCTGGGCTAGTGATGCAGAGCTTTTGTTCTTACTGCTTAGTCGAAACCTTTCTTTCACTTATGTTTCAATTTCAGGTTCTTGTGGAGAAAAAATGTCAGCTTTGCAATATCAAAGCATTATAGGCGCTTTGATGTGTTTGTAGAAGCAGAAGCTAACAAAGCTGCTGCAAAGTTTGACAATGCTTCCATTGACTTTCAAGTTGAATTCTATAAAAAGGAAGGTCTAACTCCTTATTCCGCAGCTAAACTTCCTATTACAAGTGGTAATGATGTAAACCTCCTTTCTCTTATCTTTTTCACAAATCTGATATAGACATTTTCTCTCCGATGAATGTTTTAGCATACTATTTTACATGCAGATGTCCCTGAGGGATGTGTAGTAGTAAGGGAGCACATTCCAGTTTCCAATCTCTTTGCTTGTCTTTGGTTTAACGAAGTGGATCGTTTTACTCCAAGAGACCAAATTAGCTTCGCCATTGTGAGGGACAAGATCATGTCAAAGACAAATTGGACATTGAATATGTTCTTGGACTGTGAAAGACGCAACTTTGTGGTTCAGGTGATCTTTTGTGTTTTGCCTTTTGGATTTTCAAAGATCTATGCTCTGATAATGGAATGGAAAAGAAAAAAAAGGAGATGTGCCTCCCCGCACCAGATTTCTTTTTGAATTCACACCAAATCTTCATAATATGCTAAGATTCTTATGGGCCTCGTAGGAAAAATGCAATGTGCAGTTGCATGATACGTGACTACTTCTCGAGTTGACATTTTATTCTTGAACTGCTCTTTTTTCTTCTGTTCTTCCTTTCAAAAAATGATGATATCAGTTCAGTAGACATTGAATCTCTGTTATATGATAGGATATAATAGATTGGCTATCTGTTATACTCTTTTATTATCTACAGGGGTACCACCGCGACATTCTTGAGCACTGGTCTTCCCCACCTCCCCCTGGTGCTACTGAAATTATTCATCCTCCACCGCCTGTACCTGATGAAACCCCGCAGACCTCAAGCAACATTACAACGTCAAGTTCAGTTACTGAGCCATTAAAGAAGGTACCCTCAAAGCGCGGGAGAGACAGGAAAAAGCGTCATAGAAAAGTTATTGGAAATTTTGCTTAAGCAAATTCTTGTTTTTTTTTCCCTTAGCTGTTACAAGGATATGAATTTTGCGGTTAGGAACTGAGATACATGAGCATTATAGCTTTTAACACAAGGAAGTTAATCAAGTTTAGGTGTCAAATTTATTCATTTTTTGTTGTATATAATTGAAGGCTTAACATTTCTTTTTTCCTATCATAGCACTATCATACTGGAAATAGAACTTTCAATTGCTATCTCAGTTACTAAATTTCTATCCCATGTAACTCTTGTTTCTGAAGAAAGTAAAGCATTCAAAGGCATTAACACAATAGCACTAACAAACGCAGAGGTAATGTTTGCGTACATGAACATCTTCTTTACCACCAAAAATGGTAATGTAAGACACTTCTATACTCATGCTTGTCATCTTTTCGTGAATACCATCCAATCAAGTCTTTATTCTTTTATTCTTAAAAATATGGGTGCTAACCAGATTTTCCATTTTATATGCAAGTTCAATAGAATTCTCTAGAGAGTGAGACCACCTAAAGTTGGATTTCCAATTGTAGTTTTTAGTTTGGGGTGCAATAGTAACATAGTTGCTTAGTCATTCTTCCTCTTATGTATTACAATATAGTAGGTGTTTTACTAGCTATCTTTAGCGGAAAATGGACTTAATGGACAAATAAAGGATAGACAAAAATCTGTCATCCTACTCTTTCTAGACCCCGCTTGTAATAGTACTTCCTTTCAATCAACAAGTGGAGAAGAGCTTTCCCTTTACTTCTTTCAATGATGATTGGTGTCCAACCCATCGATAAATATTTGCTACATTCCATTCGCACATGTATCAGGTAATTATGTCCGCTATGATTTAGGCAGATGAAAGAAATTATCTAATTTTTTTAATTTTTTTTTGTCAAAGATTTGAATATGAGACTAGCTATTTTCTTTGCTTTTCCTAGTTTGGCTTAAATAAAATGACCATAGTACCTAGGTATTCATATCAATTCTTCTAACAAGTGATTAGTCTATTACAATTTACATGTATCATAAATTAGTTCTAGATTTTCTGTTTATACAAGTACATGATACTCTGGTATTCCATGATTCACTCAAATTATATAAATTTACTAGTACCTCTTCTTCTTAGCCCAATGACACATAATTCGAAACTCATGATATCCAGCTTTGTCTGCAGCAAGATTCAACATGCCCAACCTACATATCACGTGTTGCTCTCTTATCACTAGCCCAAAACTCTCGAGTTACTAATGTAACAACTGAAGCACATACTCAAAACTAGCTTCTTGCATTGCATGACGTTATGAGGCTCTCAGTTCGCAGTATACAGCCCCCGCTTCAGTTGTTCCTGTTTGGAGTTTTCATTTGTTGATGAAGCACCACAACTTTTCACGAAAAAATGATGAAAAGACACCCTCCACCTCTAAAGACCTCACAAACTCCCCAGCCTTCTCCACATTTCCCTGATTTTCCCAATATTCTACACAGGTACGTAAAGTCTCCTTGCTAGGGATAAATTTAGGCGGGCAGATTGACATTGCCTTGTTCAATGCTTCTATGGCTTTTGAGACCTGATCTTCATGGATATACCCACTTGCCAAATGACACCATGTGATGACAGTAGGAACACCTCCTTTTGATAATCCTCTGTTGAAGAGGGCCTCAGCCTTGCGTAGAAGACCATTTTTACAATATGCGCCAATCAAAAAGTTTGGAATTTGGAAGTCGTAGGATATAACCCCCTTGATTCCCATTCCTCAAATATTTGTTCAACTCCTTCAATGTCATCAAATTTCATTAACGAATTCATCATGCTAATGTAACCTTTGTTATATATTCGTAGATTCTGCTTGAACAGATCCCAAACTCGATGTAGCTCTTCCTTCTTCCAGCTTGCGCATAGAGGTTTAGTAATACACCAAGTACACCCTGCTTATTCTTGCTAGTGGCAAGCATGCCCTCCAGTTTATTCAGCATTGTCAGAGCTTTTTCCACTTGCCCAACATTGAGATACTTCTCTGCGATGATAGAATAAGCATTCCAATCCAATGTGATCCGTTTATCAGATTCCAACATCCTTGCTATTTTATCCATTCCATCAGAATCTCCAACAGCAGCATATGCACTTAACCTGATTATGAGAGTGAACTGGTTAACATTTATACCCTTCCCCTCCATTTCATTCATCATATTGTCCATTTTCTCTCAATCTCCTGTTCGATAATACATGTTCATCATGAAACTGTAGCACAATGGATTATGAGCTAACCCCATATCCTTTACTTTTTGCATGATGGCCTCAGACTTCTCCCTGGCATAGCAGATGAGAAGAGCTGAATAAGTTTGAAAGCCTTTAAATTGCTGCGGGATGCTATTGATATACTTCTCAACTTCTTCTAGACCTTTAACTTTAAAAATCAGATGAATTCACACTCCAATATCAGAATATTCTGGGCTGAAACATCTTTTGTCAGTCATCCAATAAGATACTTGTCGACAGAATTTAGAAGATCACTCAACATGCAACATTGATTAAATCATCTCAGTATGAAATAAGAATGAGCAGCTCGATCTTTTCGCCTTAGACCTCCTGACAGCAAAATTTTGATCTTTCTACATCTTGCAAGGGTGAGGAACTATATCACTTATAATTCGATAAATATTCACATGACAACACAAGTTAATATTTGGTGGTTAAGTATACTATTGGCATTTAAAACACAAAGCCACAACAGAGTTAGGATCACCCTATTAGTGCACAAAATCATGCACAACTTTGATATCTATCAAGAACACACACCAGTCTTTTCTTATTGAAGAAGTATTTATATTTCCGGGATATTATTGTCGTACCAGCAGGATGAAAACATTAGAAACCTAAATATCAAAGACCCTGACTACGACCCTAGGAATCAATAGAGAAACATTGAATTCACAGTATCAGCATGCATAAACAGACTAATGAAGCACCGCGACGTATACAGTGGAGACTTTCAGAGTATTATGCCTAAGCCCATTGAAAATCCTGATAACAACCACAAGCACCACCTCGAAGGTCCTAAGATACAGTTCTATAATCATGATTCCTACCAAAGTTTTTCTCTGCGACAACTCAGTAAGAATACAACTCAAATAGAAGAGCTTTCCAAGGAGAAACAATTAAAAAATGAATAAATTAATAACACTTTTCGACCCACAAACAAGTTAACAATATAAATCCTTTGTATCCAATTTCACTCTATTGACAGAATTCATCACAATTAAACTATTCTTATGCTCATGGGTGGAGGTACAAGCCCAGATAGCTTTTGATCAAATAGTATATCTGTATTAAGAAATTCATTAAATATGTACATATGTTAAATTTAGAACCTAGTTATTACCACTTGAAGTCGTAATCTAGAACCCATAAAGTTGAAATCTTGCCTCCGCCTATGTTAGTTATTCTATTGTTACTTGGGACCAGCTATGCTAAGCAGAGTAAAAAAGACCTAAACTTGCTCCATAAGAAAATTGTTAAGCATCAGCCAATTGGACCTTAATTAACAGAAATGATGGGATTTACCCTTTACCCATTTGTTTAAAAAAACACAAGAAATGGTCTAATTCATAACAAATTGGCTCAAATTCATAGAACAAATGACAGCCTAATTTACAATAGCGCGACTAATAGCAGAGGCGGAGCTAGAGTACAATCTACATAACCCTTTTAACTTTTGACCCTGAATATATAGTAAGAAATCTACTAGATATTACTCCTTATTAGAAGTTAGACTTAGATGGACGAACACTGCTATACATATTTGTACAACAACCAATAAAGATAGTACTTTTAAAGTAGCAACATTCAATATGAACCCTTCAATTTTTATTTTCGGTACACGTGTCTACCTTTTAGTTCAGGGGGAAGACAACTGTTTTCCACTTCTATATGCTCCTTCTACTTTAACTCTATTACTAAAAATTTATGCAAAATTGATGGTTCTCTAATTTCAAATGGATTGTTTTCCATTGTTGCTTGGTGGGCATTTTTTTTATGGTTATATTTTTTCTTTTTCTGATCAGTTTTCTTCTCCTAAATAAATATTTATGAGTATTCTATATTGAGATGTTCATAATGGTATGACCAATTTTCTATGGTAATAATTTTGTTTAAATATGTTCTTCTCATTGATTTATAATATGTTGTATCGATTGTTTATAGGTGTGAAGAGACTCAGGGCTAAGAAATTGGTTGATCAAAGTTATTGCATGTGAGTATTTTGCCATTGTTTTGCTTGTTGTTGAAAGTTATATATCCCCAAATTTATGTTGTCTTCGTAAAAACTTGAATGCTAGCATTACAGATTTTTTTCTCAAAATAATTACTTAGATCTTCTGAGAGTTACAGTAGTTTAAACTAATATACCAATTGTTGATTAACATGAATCTTCACTTTATTATTGCTTTTATTTCTATTCGTAATTTTTCGAGATGTTTCATTGGGTATGTTGTTGTTTTTGTATCTTTGTCCATGTAGTAGCACTTTGTTTGCGTAAAATAGACATGCACTGCTCTAAAATTTTGTTTCAATAAGAAAAAATTTGGACCCTTTTTTAAAGGGAATAACCCCAACTCCGAGTTTAACCTTAATTTATTTACCTTTCTTACAATTGCTTTATTTATTTTTCTAACCAAGGTAGGCCTTTCATTCAATTTTCTCTTTGTAGTTACAGAGTCGTAGGCTAATTCATTTCATTTTCACTCTCTCATTTGAGAGTGTGGAAAGATTTAGCGGAGTTTTGAGATTATGAAGTTTATTTTAAAGTGTTTCTTTTATTTAGATTATTTGAAGAAATATATATTGTTTAGATTAATCAACATGAGATGGACATATTTATGATTGCAGGTTATTTCTCGAGTACTTTATTAGTCATTACAAACTACTATTATTATCAACTAACGAAGAATGAACTTACTTTCTGTTTAATAGGTATTATACATGTCAGTTATTTTTTACCGAGTTTTCTATATCATACATTTTGTGATGTTTCTTTAATTTCTTTAATATATATTATTCCACTTCCTTCTCAGTCATTTGAAGCTTAAAGAAAGAATCAACAATACATATTCCGTTGAATGTCTATCCTGATTTGCCGGTACATCGTGTTTATTATTAACTTGTTTGTAGCAGTTGCATCAAAGGTTTGATGAAATTTTATAAAAAATGATTGACAAAGGTTTTTTTCTAAGTGGGGGTAGGGGAAGGGAAAATGGAAAGGGAATTACAAGGTTAGGGTTCAGGTAGCCAGTCAGCTACTAAAATTCTCTATTGACCAACGTAAGTTCTTTTAAGGAAGCACTATTATTTTAGATGTCCAGGCAATAATGTGGAAATACAGTATTGTTCAAGTGGCTTTCTATGCAAGTAAAAGGTTACGAAAACATAAAACTTCATTGTCATACTTAATGACTGGAGTAAGTGATTTTATGTTTCTACTAAACATTTAGAGAAATGGATAGTTATGAGAGTAAAAATTATTAAATGGTTTAGATGATTAATAAACAAAGTGGAAATGTGAGTGATCTACTATTGAGTTCCTGTCATATCAGAGTCAACAACTTTGTTCGAACTGATCGTTACACGTTTGTGAGCAATTTTGTAAAAATAACCTAAAAATAAAGAGTTATAAGTGACTATTACAAACTCTTACATGGAACTCTGGTGAAGAACTCATGCCTTTGATTTGCTTCATTATATTATGTTCGAATACTAGTTGATTGTATGAAGAACTCCTACTTTACTTTGTTTTATTGAGTTTATTCTAGGATGTGAAATTGAGTTTGCCTTATATGGGTCAATGGTCAATTGATGCATACTGAACGTGAACATCAGTTATGGTATTAGGTGTATTAAACTTTATTGGTGAAATATTGTAAAGATGTACAATTTCTCAACAAATATTAGCTTGGAATTTATGGTATGACAATTTTACTTCATAATGATACATCCGAATTTCTTTTTCTCATTTTTTACAAGTTTAAGTACACTATTGACATAGAAGCTTGTAAATGCTTGAAAAAAGAAAATAGTCCTACTTTTAAAGTTTGTTTATCTCGACTATGCTACACTTGATTTTATGTCTCATTTATGACAATTCACCTGCAACTTCACCATCACATATTCATAGACTTCTTACATGGCAAATGCTACTGTGAATTATCACCCTGCAACTTCACTATCATATATTTATAGACTTCTTACATGATAGATGCTATGGTTAATTTATTCTATTTAATAATATGTTGTTGGTTATTTATTAGAGGTCTGATGGGTATTTTCTTTAATTTATGTTTAGTGCTTTTAACTTTTCTTAAGTCAGTAGTCCCCGAAAGTCAAATTTTGTACAAATTAGTGTTTATGAATATGAAGTTTGGCTAAATTGTTGACTGCTTGAGACTTGACAAACATGTAATCAGAGGACCTATATTTCTAAGAATAATAACTTCTAACAAAAAATTCTAACTTTTTTTTCTTGACCTCCGATTATATGTTAGAAAGGGTACAATATGAGGATGGTTTCAGATTTTTTGTATAAACTTCTTTTTACTATAGATTTACAAAGACAATATAGAAGAAAGGTATAAATTTGTCATTCATAATTTTTTATTTAGTAGGAATAACACTATCAAGTCTTTCTGTATATTTGCTTAAGAAGTATATTAATATGCTTTTTACTTGAATAAATAATATGTTTATTATCCATTTTAGGTG